AGATGGGTTGTTGGCTAACTATGATAGTGATCCTGTCTTTTAAGATGGGTTGTTGGCTAACTATGATAGTGATCCTGTCTTTTAAGATGGGTTGTTGGCTAACTATGCCAACTCACATTTTTAACTGTATTTCACAGGCTACGAAGGTTTTAACGGTGAGTATTGTTTCTGAAAATGATCAAATAAGTCAGGGTTTGACGAAATCGGTGTTTAAAGAATTGATGGAATATGTCACTAGAAATCACATTTCTGTGATCCAGTTGATAATGTTATGTGCAATATAAATCTAATCCTTTTTTGTTTTATTACAAAAGAAATTGGCAGAATAATTATCCTAATATTATTAAATCAATTAGGCATAATCAATATGTTGATGATACGTTTGTTATTTGTAAGATAAAGTACATGTAAAACAATTTTTAGACCATTTGAATAACTGACACTCAAGTATAAAATTTTCTGTTGAGGAAGAAATTATTCAAATTACCATTTCTAGATTTGGAAGTCAATGATTGTGGTAAATATGTGGATCTAGACATTTATCATAAACATACATTACAGGATTATATAGTGATGTAAGTAGTCTTACATCTAATAGCTACAAAATAAATTTAATTATCATCCGAGTGGACAAAGCCTATCAGGTAGTAAATAAATGTCATCAGTTTCAAAAAGAATTAGAAAAAAATACAAATGTTTTACTGAAAATGGATATCAATATCATATCAATGAATCTTGCTTAACAATGTGGTTAACAAAGTAGAGTTAACACCCCTCCAAAAGTGAGATTTTATGTGCTTAAAAATACAGTATATGTGAGTTTGGTATGTATGTCAGTTTGGTGTACATGTTAGTTTGGTATACATATGTCAGTTTGGTGTACATCTTAGTTTGATGTATATGTTAGTGTGGTATATATGTTAGTTTGGAGTATATGTTAGTTTGATGTATATGTCAGTTTGGTATATATGTCAGTTTGGAAGATATGTCAGTTTGGTGTACATCTTAGTTTGATGTATATGTTAGTTTGATGTATATGCTAGTGTGGTATATATGTCAGTTTAGTTTATATGTTAGTTTGGTGTACATGTTAGTTTGTTGTATATGTTAGTGTGGTATATATGTCAGTTTTGTTTATATGTTAGTTTGGTGTACATGTTAGTTTGATGTATATGTTAGTGTGGTATATATGTCAGTTTGGTTTATATGTTAGTTTGGTGTACATGTTAGTTTGATGTATATGTTAGTGTGGTATATATGTCAGTTTGGAGTATATGTTAATTTGGTGTACATGTTAGATTGGTATATATGCTAGTTTGATGTATATGTTAGTGTGGTATACATGTCAGTTTGGTATATATGTTAGTTTGGTGTACATGTTAGTGTAGTATATATGTCAGTTTGGCGTATATGTTAGTTTGGTGTATATGTTAGTTTGGTGTACATGTTAGTTTGATGTATATGTTAGTGTGGTATATATGTCAGTTTAGAGTATATGTTAGTTTGGTATATATGTCAGTTCGATGTATATGTTAGTGTGGTATAGATGTCAGTTTGGAGTATATGTTAGTTTGGTATATATGTCAGTTTGGTGTACATCTTAGTTTGATGTATATGTTAGTTTGATGTATATGCTAGTGTGGTATATATGTCAGTTTGGTTTATATGTTAGTTTGGTGTACATGTTAGTTTGTTGTATATGTTAGTGTGGTATATATGTCAGTTTGG